AGTGACTGATTTCTTCTTTATCAGGTTTTCACGCTCCAACCATGTCCTGGCCAGTGGCAGGGACGCTTATGATTGAACCAACAGAGTCTGAAGACAAGGCAGAGCTGGACAGGTTTTGTGATGCAATGATCAGTATTCGGCAGGAAATTGCTGAAATAGAGGAGGGCAGGATGGACCCCCAAATTAATCCACTAAAGGTAAGGTGGTGTGTAGAACAAGTTACCAGCATCAGGTTAACCCTCGAGACTTACTTGAAACTATGTGAGCCTGCTTCCTGGTCTTTCAGTACTCTGAAAACAACTGTGTGCAACAGTGAACAAATTAACTTCTTGAAATCTGACTTTTTTTAGAAACCTTAAAATTTCTCAGAATTTGAATTTTGACTTTTTCAAGTCAGAATTCTGGCCTTTGCTGACAGAGCAGAAGTTATTTACTCAAGCACATGATCTATAATTTTCAAGGCCATCTCAAAGTAATGAAGAAGAGATGCTTATTTATCTGGTTTAAGAAGGGAAGTGGAATGATCTTAGAACTAACAGTAGAAGAAAGATTAAATGAATTATTCTAGCAACTGCAGCACAAAATTGCTATAGGCTCAACTTCTGTTCAACTCTTGTAATACTGTACTGACTTTTTAAATATGAGGGGATTTAGTGAAAAGCTGGAAGCACATGCAAACCTTGGGTGGTGTCTTCAGGAAAACTGAAAAAAAAATCTAGATACTGACTTGCTTCCTGTTTTAAATCTGCCTTTTTTTTCTGACTTTTTTCCCCGAGGTAAATGGTATTCTCGAGAGACTCTCTAGACAGTAATTATTTATATGTAGTAATGTGAACTCGAAGGAGGGTTCACACTGATACGTTCAACTGAATTCAGCAATTTCAAGTGCTAAACATGTATTTTTGCTTGTAGATGTCACCACATACTCTGAACTGTGTTACTTCTTCCAAGTGGGATCGTCCCTATTCCAGAGAAGTGGCAGCGTTCCCACTGGTGAGTAAATAATGGGATCCTGATGGTGTGGTAATACATAAATGTGCTTTCTGCTCTGTGGTTTTCTGGTCAGTTGGAGATGAAGTAGTTTGGTAAGAATAAAAACTTCATAGCCTTTTTTACTGTTGCTCAATTTTTATGTGTGTGAGCCCTACAGTAGTTCCATTAGTTTTGTTCTTCCAAGACAAGGAAAAAAGCTCTTGAAAAAAAGTCTCTACACACAAAGTGCAGACTTGGATTTCTAAATCTCAGCACTTTAATATTGGATACTCCTGCTGGAAACAGGCCGTTCAGTTCTGACATACCGCACCAGGGGCTCCCAAAACAGAGTCCCATGTCCTGATGTTCAAAGCTCTGCTCCAAAGAACTTTTGGATGAGGGTTTGACAAGATGCACAGTCAGCATGGGGCAAGAAACATCAATGTGCTACAAATAAACGTCAAACTGGAACTGGATACATCAGACTTCTTCAGAGCACTACATAAAATTGCTTCCACAACCTTAACAGCTAAATACATACGTAACTAACTTTTCTCACCTAAAACTGAATTGCATGTATTTTATTGCTCCGTACCACTTCAAAGAGCCAAAATTTAACTGCACCTATGAAGTTTGCCACCCTGTTTTATGTATTATCTTATAACTGTATTGAACAGCACAGGTCTTCAGGTGGTCTCCTCCACCTTCCCTTCATTCCTATCTGTAAGTCACAGTGTGCCTTTACCCCATGACAACTGCTGCTTTGCAAGCATTTGTTAGAGGATGTGGCTGCCCTTTTTTTAAAATCTAAAGCTTCTTTTGACTGCCAACTCTATTATACGTGCTTGTTAACTTTTAGGGACTGCAAATAGATTTGAAGCATGACTTCACTTAAAAAAATCCACTTTTCCAGCATTTGTCATTCTTCAAACTTCTAATGATGTCCATTACAATTATGTAGATTTGCTTGGCAGAAAAATTAAAATAGTTGTTGTTTCTTTTATACTTAGCCATTTGTGAAGCCTGAAAGCAAGTTTTGGCCCACAATTGCTCGCATTGATGACATTTATGGAGATCAGCATCTGGTTTGTACCTGCCCACCAATGGAAGCGTACGAATCTCCCTTTTCTGAACAGAAGAGAGCATCTTCATAAGACTGCTTCTACCTGCCTGGATTTCTGAGTCCATCAGGATGGCCTTTTCTTCCCAGACCTGATAGGGGATTTATATACTATGTATATTTTGGATAATCAGCACTTTTGTTAATTGAATCACTGCTCAGTTAAAATGTAAATACAATCAATATGTTAGGTGTAAACAAAACGTGATTGTTCCACAGCAGTTGATGTTGAAGTTGCCTTGATTCAGCATTTTGTCTGTTTTGTGCTAAAGTTCTAACAATTAACACCCAATTTGCCAAGTGGCATGGAAGATACGGTTAAAGTAGAAAAGTTGCAGATGCATAAGGCAATAGTAATGAATATTAACTGCAGGAGTAATGGTTTATATTTTGTAAAAAAAGATGAAGTAGATGATTGTTTAATTTACTTCACGTAATGCCACTAGCATTGCTAATGGTAATTTCATACTGTTTTTTTTTACCTACCAATATTAGTACTCTAATAAAATTGATCAGAATTTTACGTGCTGTCATGTTCTGGATTTTGACATCTCAGCTGGATTTATCCAACAGAGCTGAATGAAATTATGAAGCTTAAGTTCCGATTTGCCAGAATTGCACAGCAGTAACAGCTTCTACACAAAGCAATATACTGGCAGAGATTAATATGGAAATAAATCTTTGCTTTTTAATAAGCTCAAATGATCAGTTTTACTGAGCAGTAACAACTTTTTTCTGTGTCACATCAATTTTTCCTTGTAGTTCCATCTAATTCTCTCATCTTACTCTGGATGGACTCTTACACAGTCCATACTGTGTAAGTTAGAAACTTTTTCTAACAGACTGTGAAATGCTTAGTATGAGTTAGATCTTGTCTAACAAAATATTCTCCTTCCACAGTTTCTCAAACCTTCTATTTTGGATACTGGTTTTGGTTTATATAGTGCACGCAGTTTTGCTTGGTTTGTCATGTAAGACTACACATGAGATGGTACCCACACTACACGTAAGAGTCACAGCTTTAGCTCTGGCTCTCCAAGGGCACCGACAGCACCCTGAGACCAGAGCCCCGCTGCTACACACCATGCCACATTCAATGACTCCGTCACCGGAGCGCAGACCTCAAAACAGGAGCCTCTCCTAGTCTGCTCCCAGTCAGATTTATATAAAACCGACCCTCTCTACCAGTTACACAAACAGACCGTACATGTTACGAGCACATTTGAAAGGAACCCGAGAGGGAGTCTGCATTTGCGTTTGATGCGAGTCAGCACCCCGGCAGAGACAAACTCATTCAGCCACACAAAGCCGGGTTTTGGTGAACGAGGAAGCGGGTACCGGGGTAAGACTCCGACTGGGGAAAGGACCGCACGGCAACTACTCAACCTCTTTGAAGGCCTACAGGCACACTCATGCCTGGGAGCTTTCTCTGAGGTGACACAAATAAAGCTACTGTTCACAGCACTGTTCCAAGTACTGTACTTCTCTGTCCTTTACAGTGAAAGTTTTGGGACGGCAACTTTTCATTTCCTATCTTCATACTTCAGGGGGGGCTTTAATTACACAAAGAGACTGCGGATGACAGGAGATGGTATAGATTTCATTAATGAAAGGTTAGGCCAGAAACCAGTTTTGATGTGAAAAGCTGCACCTAGGTCCTAAAACGTCTAAACACGTAATGAAGAAAATGAGAATTTTATACTCTAGAATTTACTGTTGAAAAGGGCATCCTTCGGTAGCTACTGATATAGCACTAGGGTGTAAAAAATTGTGGAAAAACACTGCCAACTTGTAAGGTGAGGAAAGGACAGTCTGCATTGCCAATCTAACTTCACAACGTCTTGTCAAGCTACTTTAATGTTAAAAGCAGTTTCTTAATGTTACTTAATTGTGTCTGTCACTGGAAAGATCTATTAAAATACTGGTTTACACATTTTTGTATTAAGCAAAGAACTTCCCATTGCTGATCTCAAGCAGACAAATTCATCTCATCAATTAATTGGTAAAAGCTATCAAATGGAAAAAAAATTAGAAGATATAAAATATTTCACAGCACTCAACTATGAAGTAAAAAGCCACAAAATTTACGTGCCTACTGCACAGATGCAGAGTTTGTTATAAAGGTAAAATTACATCTGTTTTCCCCATGAAATGCTGGGCTACTGTTCTGTAAAAGACAGAAACCTGCCTACAGCTCTTTTAAACTGTATGCTTAACACTAATACCAGTTCACCTACTGGTGAAAAAAGGCTGAATCCTCAGTCCAGTAAGCACAGCAAAAGCTGAGCGGTTACACCTTTCTAAACTGTTCAGCAATGCCACTAAGTTAACTTTCAGCTGCAAAAAAGAGCACTGCCACGTGCATCATAATGGTTCATTACCAACACCGGTGTAAGGGCAAGACCTTCAGTTACTGAGAACGACGTACATACTTCCATACGTACTTCTGTACACGCCTGCTACGCGGGCTGCAGGCGACGGGCTGTCGGGGCAGCCCCGTGGTCACGGTGGGAGTCGCTGGCTGGTGGCCACGCAGGGCACCCACAGCTCCCAGCTGCGCCCGCCTGGCTCTTGGCAGCACGCACCGCCGAAGCCAGCGGGGCAGGAAGGGCTCCCACCCGCCCCGGTACGTGGATTCAGCACTAACAAGCTTCCTCCAAATGCTCGGCAGAGACGGAAGCAGCTACGTGACATGTCAATGTCGAGTTGTTTTGTTTGTCTTCATTAACAAAGTTTTTTTCCATTGAGAAATGAGTTAAGGAATATAAAGCCTCACGTCTGAGAAATGAGAAGCCCACCTGATGAAAGGATTTAGTAATCTAAAAAAAAAAAAAATTTCTATAAAAATGTTACGATTTAAATAAGTGGATAATAGTAAAAACAAAATTAGCAACTTTTCTGAATCATAAAATATTTAATAAGGTATATTTGGGGGGATATATTGTATATAAAATTTCAGATCACAATATGAAGCGATTTGAACCCTCTCCAAGCTAGCACTGCCTTCAATGCCGTGTAGATGTATTGCCACTGATACAAGACCTACTAAAAGCATACAGTTTAACTAATACAGAAGTGGCTTTTTTATTTGAAATATTTTTTACACAACTAGAGTGTCTTGAATACGCTCTTTAAGTGCAAAAAACACAGATCACTTTACACTAATGCAGCAACAATGCATTCATATTGTTCTCATTAGTCATTAGTAGTCAACTTGCATAAGATACAAGAAAAGCACAATGAAGCTCACAAAAATAGACTAAAAATCAGCCTGTTCTTGCAAAAAAATACAGCATAATGGAAGAAAAAGACAAAAAAAGGATTATGCACACCACAGAATTTGCTGTTCTTTAATCCAGCTGGCTTAAGTGCTGTTTCTGGTTTTTTTTGCTGTTTTTTGTGGGTTTTTGTTTTGGTTTGGGTTTCTTTTTGTAAATCAAACCACATGGACCAGGCACAACTAATATTCAGGAGGCAGTGTGTAGCTAAAACTTTACTAACTTTTTGTCATCCCCACAATTTATTATCCTCTGTCCTGAGGTAGTTACAAAAAAAACAAATCATAAATTAAGCATCAGCTAGGCCAGTAAGAGCTGAGGCTTTTCTTTTTTTTTTTCCTTTAAAAACTATTTGTTAACTGGCCAAAACTACCCTTGATGTTAAAAGACAGCTGAGAATTAGAGTTCTCACTACACCAAAAAGATGGCTATGAGGGGAAGAGGGTTAGCTGCTTCAAAATGTGACAATATATTGAGTCCCATCAAGCTGGCTGGTCCGCTGCTGAATTTCCCATGTTTATTCTCCTTTACTGTCTATAAAGTCACTGGGAGAAGTACGGAAGGATCTGAGCACATCATCGTCCTTTACTGTAACCAGGGAAGAACTGGTCCAGTAGTGTCTGCAGTATCTTGTTGGGAACCATGGTGTAGCCCTTTCCCAGGTCATAGCGGCAGGCAGGGCAGGTGAAGACTTCAGCTCTGAAGGAGCGCTGTAAACAACTCTAGGACATGCAAAGACAGAGAAGTACATCGTGAGAGCTTTGTTTTAGACTGACAGCTTAACCAGCAAAAACTAAGGGATCACTACAACGCAAAAATGCTTTATAGCATCTGCTGCACTACCAGAAAAAAAGGAAGTCATTACCAAGACCTCTGGCACCTCCCTCTGCCTCTGTGACTAAAACGTCCTAACAAAGGAACTCTGCTCTGGGCTGGGATGTGAAACGTTGCACTCGGGAGGAATTAAAACAAATCACTACTGATACTTCCCCTTCATTTCCACTAGTGCCTTCCTGTGACTCACATCCACGTCTGCAGCTTCCTTCTAGTTTCCCGCTTATTGCTGCAGTTTTCCAAACCTTAATTTCAAGAGGAAGGTGAGTATACCAGCTATATTGTTTATGTGACAATCTCCATCTACCTCATCAGATGAGATTCAGTTAAGCCTTAAAGACACACACAGAACAACTCAATCTCTAACACATTAGCATCAGTGATGCGCCCTTACGGCGATACCACAGCCTGCGTATGGCCCAAGCCTGTGAGCTGCGTATCAGAAACTTGTCAGGGCAGATCTGCGCCCAGACAGCAACTGCAGCTTACTATCAAACTGTTCCTTACAACAGATGTTTTTCTGTCTTTGCAAATATTTACTGACATCTTCAAATTCTGTGCTTTCTCAGTTTGTTGCCATTCAGCTTCCTCTCCTCCATGGTCTTCCAATTTCCGTAATTCTAAGTATTAACCCCTTCATAATACTTATGTTTTTTAAAGAGACATAATGATTCTGTATGTGCAGGCCATCCATAACAACACTGATTTTCACTGGAGTGATGCATATCTTCAAGATACAACAAGAGTAACAAGATAATATAACTTACTCCAGATAAGCCCAAATAATTTCCTTGTATTTACCCTGTATCCTTTCAACAGCTCTTAATAAGAGGGTTACAGTTATAAAATCTGGTTTTATTCCTTAACTATGTAAAATTAAATTATTGTTACTGTACTAACATCTAGCTCCTGGACCAAACCAATTCCTAGTGTAATTCCACTGATCACAAAGGAATGACAGCAATGGTAAACTTCACTTGTTATGTCTATCAGGAACTATACTAAAGGTACTTCCACTCTTTATTACATAAAATTACGGTTGCACAGCCATCACTGAATGTAAATTTGTTGCATGTTTTTGCTCACAATGTTAGGCAATATTTATTGTCTTTCTAAAATACATATGGCTTTGGTGACTGGTGTCTCAGAGCCAAGAAAACAGCCCAGAGCAAGACCAAGTTTGTTCTTACTTTACAGACGTTGTGGAGGCACTCTGTTGTCACTGGCTGGTAAACCAGCTCCTGGCAGCAGACACACATAAAGGATTGTTCCAGTTTCTTCAGAAAATTCTGGTGTAGGGCAAAGGAATAAAAAAGACAAATTCTATTATAGTTCTCGGAAATGCCATTTATTACATAAAGATGATGAATTGCCAGAAGTTCGTAAGTCCTCCATATCCATGAGTGCAGCTTTCTGAAAGTGATCAGGAAGCAGGCCAGTAACTGCTTAATGTTCCTGCTCTTCCACAAATCAGAGAACTAATGTTTTAAAGATTTTTTTTGTTTGTTTGTGTGAGTATTGTTATTAACAAAATTAAATAGAATGGAGGGCCCCTCATGCCTGATTCTTGGCACAGGTCAGAAAATTTAGTAATTGTGTTTAGTAACTGCTGCTAGAAATTTGCATGTCCCTGAAAGATCTCTGCTTCTCTGACACGGGAACTTCTGCTAAGACAGCCACTCTGAACCTCCTCCTGTGCTTACAGATTATGGCTAGCTTTATGGTTTCTTCTCTCCTCAGGCCAAATTCTCTGCAGTGTGCAAATCAACCTCCCTGGTTTTTATATCTTCTCAGAACTTCTCTTGAGGAATCTCAAGATACATTTTTATCAGGTGCTTTACACACACAAGCATGCTTATCGCCAGCATGTCCATGATCTCCAAACATCTCAAGAATACAAGCTTGAGTATTGAAAAAAACAAGATCTACGGGTAATCAAAATCTGTTTCTTTGTAATAATTTTAAAAATACCAGATTTATCTTAAAACACATTTAGCTAAATGGGAAGGTGGTTGTTTCAAGAAGAAAGATTTAAATTTTCACAGTAGTAACCCAAAGTTATCAGTGATTCCCATTGCCTTTAGTGGCAACCAAATGGAAATCTTACCAAAATTATGGGTAGGAATCTGTAGAAAAATGACTTCTCGGGAAGCTTTTAGATTACTGTTTTCTTCTTTCTACAGACACATATCTCTATTCCCTGTCGTCATGCACAATTTTAAGAGCTGAAATTCCTTCTAGTCATTACAAGACACTGGATAGAAGACACATAACAGCGAATAACTTTACACTATCTGTTCCTACACAAAGACAACTGCAGCAGCATTCTAGCAAAAAGTAGTACTGTAAGTGTCTATAGTCTCTTCATTCTTGAGCTATTCTTGCTATTTGCTTGACATTTAGGAGGAGGAAAGTATTTTCTCTCTTACTTCAGGATCCCTACTGATACATTGGCATAATCTAGATTTGGATGAAAATATTTTCATTTCATATCTAAATTTGAAGATGACATTACTTCTATCTTTTTAAACAAAGCAAGCAAGCTGTATTTTCTGTCATAAAATAATTTTCTGTCTGAACAAAAAGTAGTGACTAGAACTATCTTTCTTCATGTCTGATTTCTCATAACAGCACAGCACAAAGATACATTTATAATTTCAGAAAAAGCACGCTCTCTTCAAAAATGAAAAGAAGAAAAGGTACTTCTAACTTCAGAATGTTTTTTGAGCAAGAAAATATCTCTATTATGCAGGTGTAAACCAAGCCATCAATAGCAAATTGTACAAGCAAGGATTATTTTCTTGAAATCAAAGTCTTACAAATAAAAATAATGCTAGACACAGTCTGTATTCAACAAAGGTTCAACAAGTGAGTTAGATTTCAAGAGAGACTCAAGTTTTCTCCTAACAGTCTAAAGAAAAGGTAAACATTAAAAATTATGCATGCAGCAAACATACTGGTCCTTCCTTAAGAGAAGCAAGTACTTCATCCCACAGTTTCTGGTTCATACAGTCTTCTCTAATAAGCCACTGCTGCTCTTGGGTCAGCTGGAAAGCCTCTCCTTTCCCTCCATCTCCCATCCTCATGGCTTTGGGTGTATTCGTAGGTTCCTCTATACCTGCTTAAGATTATGACCATCAGACAGAGTAACAACAGAGTGTTAGTCTGAACTAATAAAAGGGGAAGACAAAACTGTTTCCAGAAGGCTAAAACATGGATTACAGTGATGAAATGCAGCAATCAAATCCCTACTCCAACTCATACTGGTCAGCATCGTTTTGGACTGCAACATGCAGTTGCACAGAAGACTGTTCATTTTTCTACAGAGCTTAAGAGATAAAAAACCTGTAAGAGTAGTAGGATAAGATCCCTACACTACTACTTAATTACAGAGCATGTGCTTATCAGGTTTACATCAGTATTCCAAATGAGTTCATTGCAACTTCTGCAAAGTTTTCATGCTACTGGCTTAATAAATGTAACATGACAGACTTCGCTGATGAATGCTAAAAAAGTAAAAAGAAATACCATCATCAATTGTCCTTTTCTGGTTTCCATTACTCTGGCTGGTTGGCTCCTGTTTCACAGTTTGCTTTTTAACCTTATCTTTCTTCTCCTTACTAGCCATGGCTTCCAAATATCCTTCTGGATACTAAAATAAGAAAGCATAGATTTAGAACAAAATCCATTGGCATGGGTTCAGGAATTCTCAAATACCAACAAGACTAATTTCTGAAAGACTTTTAAACCCTGTGACCACATATTGAAATAACTACAATATAATTTTTAAAACCCCAGATGATGGAGAAAAAATTTAAATTAGTATCCGTTATTAAAAAAGTGTAGTGAAGCCAAAAAATCTAACCCAGACTGGATTGTATTAAAAGGAACCCGATATCCATATCTATGCCCTTACAACTATACAAATCAGTTAGACAAAGTTGAAGATGATGGTATGCTGTAAGATATAGCATTGCTTTGCTGAGAAAAAAACCAGTACATTATTGCTTTCCATCTTCCATGGATTCTGCAGTGCCCAAGTTCTCATGGGTTACTTTATTGCTGTGCCTGAAATAAACTCTCTATACAAACTCACATGGAGAGAAAAATACATAAAAATGCACAGGTTTTTTGATTTCTCAGACTCAGCTATAACAATAGTCACTTGTAGAAATTCTTTCCAGCCTAAGGATCACAAAACTGGATTCAAACTCTTAATTTTTCAATTCATATATGCAATGCAATTCACTGCCAAGGCAGAAGCTTTATCCACCATGCCCTCTGTTGTGTCACTATTACAGGATCCTTTCATTCTGCAGATAATCTGTAGTGCTTTTTGGCATTAAATCCTGCCACAGTAAAGTACAAAAAAAAAAAAAAAAGGAGGGCTTTAATTTAACTGATTTCTATTTCTGGAATTCATTTACTGGAACTGAGAATAAAAACAACTCTGCAAGTCCTGATTCGAACCTGTACACTCAGACCCAGTTTCTTTGACCTCTCCATTCCTTCTGAAGTCCAAGGTGCAGGCTCAACGTCATCTCTCCTCAGAAGATAGCGCCAAACTAAAAATCCACATTTTCCAATTTCTGGCCAATATTTCACCACCTGAAGAACAATATAAAATTACTGGCATTATTTTATCACAAGCCAAACACATGCATACAGTTACACTTTATTTGTTCAAGAAGAAATTAAAAGACTGAGTTATACGTCACTATTATACAGCAGGTCTTCCCTCAGGTGTGAAATTTTTGTATCTTTGATAAATACAGTGCTCTTAAAATGCACACACCTTTATTTTAGATACTCAGAAGTCATTAAACACACAAAAAGCTAGGATATATTTGGAAGGAGTGAAGAAATAATTTGATTTCCAGTGATGAATATGACTCAGTAAGCACATACAAAGTAGCTAACATATTCAATTTTATATATCCTATTATGGATTATGTTCTATTACCACTGCTCTGAATAATTTAATTGCAGTTCTTTGCAGAATAAGGTAAGCCTAAAAAGCAGTCATGGGGGAAAAAGAATTCTTTAAGGAATGACAAAGAATTTGCAACATAACACATATGACCAAAACAGCTGAAGAAAAATGCTTCGTTGCACTCAGTAGAAATCTGAATACCTTGTAAATGCCATCGTATCTGTTGCCTTCCTCTGGGGCATATTTGCTGATTCGCCGTCCTTTTGAACTGCGCACTACTCTGACTGGCTTGCCAGCTCTCCAATTCTTCGACTCTGCTCCATTTTTGTCATCCAGTGGGGCATCACAGTTAAGGGCCAATGCCCTAGAAAAGAGATTTAAAACCTTCATAACCTGGATTGCTTTAAGAATTAATGTAATTAAGTCATACCTATTTCCCTTGTCTACTTATGCTTTATCAAGCAGCATAGAACTTTTCAGTGTATTTTTTAACTGCAGAACTGATGGAAGCAATGAGATCCATGCTATCATGTATAGTAAGAAAAAAAATGGGAACACAAAATATTTTGTTGCCAAGTTTCCAGATGAAAATTCAGCTGATATTGCTAAATAAAACAAACCAATCTTTTACATTTAATATTCTTCATTTTTAAAAATAATGACGTCCTAAATAGCATTGAGGGAATTACAAGAAAATTA